GCCGGCCACGTCAGCGCCGACACCGCTGTCGCCACCACCACGTATGGTAGAAGTTGTGACAGAAATTGACCCAGGTTGAACCCCTTGGTACCAGGAGAGGAAAGGAGGGGTAAGGGGGAAGACGTGGTCGGTGGTGGAGCCAAGAGCATGATGGAGCATGATGGAGCATGACTGACACGTCTCCTGCCTGCGTAAGATGGAGACGTATGCGTGTGAGAGCGGTTCTGTGTGGTTCTGATGGAGAGGACAGCAGGAGAAGGGAGACGCCACACAGACGCAGTTTACTCGCATGACTCGCATGACTCAATGACTCGCATGACTCAATGACTCGCATGACTCACGCGACGCTCAGTACTCACGTCGAGGGAGATTTTCTGTCTGCTGTCGATCTGCGCTCGCTCCTCCTCGCTCCTCCCTCCCCTCCACCCCGCGTCCCTCCCCCTCTCATCCTCGCTATCCGCCAGGTCCGTCGGATTCACATCGGACGGCCCCTGATCGTCCCATTCTACGCCCGTCGAATCCGCCGCTGCCGCAACTACCACGCATCGCCGCTTCGAGTGGCGCAGCAGACGCGCGCCGAGGCTTCTTTGAGAAAAAGCGGCAGGAGCAGACTCAAAACTCGCGCTGACGTTGCTCCTGCTGCTGCACGCTAAGCTCCCGCTGCTGCTACTACCTCTGCTGCTCCCTCTGCCGCTACCTCTGCGCGTCAATTCCGTGCAGGATGCAGCCGCAGTAGCCACTGACGCGACGGCGGATGCCATTCTGGAACCTGATTAGTTGCACGGATTTCAGGTTCCGTTCTCAGGAATCGCCTTGAAATTGTCTCACTTGTGTCAGGCTGGCAGAATTACTGCCAAAAACGTGTCAGCCTGCTTTTGGCGACATTGCCGACATTGCCAACAAGGCACAAGTGTCTGCGTTTTCGGGATTTGGACGATCACACCATCGCGAACAGCTAAACGTAACCATCTCCGACTGTTGCGGTTGTGTTCTTCTGGAAAACAAACGAAATATGCGAAATTTGCCTGAGCCGTCAGTGGGTCTCGTGACCTGCTGGCGCTCGCGAAATCAGAAACTCCAATGCAGTCGTGTAACTGACTGTCGCTGAGCGATAATATTGTTACCCGGGTTTCGTGATCGCTGACACCGTACTAGAAGTTCCTGCCTTCCCTGACACAGTGGTGCTGTTCGCCAGCAAATCGTTTCTTCAACAAAAAACGATGGCATCAGCATCGCGACCGCATATGGAAACGGGGGCGGAACCCTCCTCTGAGGTTTGGGCGAAATGCCGCCCGAGAAACTACGCGCGCCCGAAAGGAGAAATTTCTCAACCGTATCGGGAAGGTCCATCCCCACCTTCCCCCCAATGGCGCGAAATTTGCTCATCCCTGACCCTTGTGCTGCCCGCTGACCAAAAATTGCTCAACGCAAATAAAACACACCCCGCTCAAACACAACCCCCGCCACGGTGTGTTTGAGAGGGAAAAATGGGGGGTATACGAACCCCCCTTTGTTAAACTGCAGGCTTGTTCAAGGGTTACCCTCTGAACAGCAATGCGTCGGCTGTGCCACCGTTGTGCTTTGAAAAACGCGGCATGACGATGGCATGGCTAGGGGATGGCATTTTGCCTGGGGACGAAGTTTCGTCCCCGCTTCCAGATGCCGTCGAACTGTTAGATTTGGTGGAGAAAAGTGGGCGTTCGCCAGACGCCCACTTTGTTTGTTGGTTTGGACGGTAGGTGAGGCTCGGCACTTTTTTCACGGGCTGACCAAGCTGACGGAGGTTAACGAACTCTAACTGGCGGGATCAGGAAGGCGAGACCCACCTTCATGATCCCAAAGTTATCCCGTGGTTTTTGGATATAATGGTGCTGGCGAACAGCACCAGTACGAAATTCGTGTCAGTCCCAGAGCTCGTGTCAAAAAGGGACCACCACTCAAATCCAAATTCTTCTGCAGCAGAACCGAGAATCTCATATGTACCAGATTAGTTTAAAGCTCGCGTCTCATATTTCTGCTATCCAACCAAGTGTTAAACGGTTGGAATTTGGTAACAGCAAAGTTTGTCGCAAAGCACACCAAAGCAAGGGGTGGTTTGGGAAAGTTGGTTGTCGCACACTTCCCGTGCACACCAAGCGTTTACAACTTCCAAAAATATGAGACTCTGAAACTCAACGGCCATTTTCAGGTGCATGCAACTCTGTGGGGAAAAGCTTCTCAGGTGCATGCTATCCCGTCGTGTTTCTCCCTCCGTTGCCACTGTTTGTACCCATCCGCCACTAAATACACTGTTCTGTCAGGGAATGCAACCCACGCGACTGACACCAACAGGCGCAGCTCTCGCACGAACTCGCCACACCAGTCACACCAGTCGCAGAATTTCCGCGCGCCAAACCAGGAAGGCATGCAAGCGCAAATCCGTGCGCAAGTCCCTTCCCCCCCTTCTATCCAACAAGTGCTGGGTACTGAGATCACCTACCTACTGCACCCAAGGAGCACAGAACAGAGCACGGTAACCCTAATCCTACGTTTCTGGATCGATTACGTAAGAGACCCTAGTTAGACCATCATGGCAGGAACTTACACTACTATGTCCAAGCTTAGATAGTTAATTCACGATGACAGTTATTAATCGTGTGATTCAGCTGGTGTTCAACATTTGTGGTGCGCTATCATAAAGGACTCGCCAGCGTTACTGTTCATGGTAAGTTCCTGCTGGCTTGGTTAGCTAGTAATAATTTCTCTACGAACGTGGCACTCATTCCCACCGTCACGTGACTCAGTAATGCTGGAACGTAAGGCCGATCGCATCAACCCAACGAAGCCACAATTCTTATGTTGAAGATTGTGTGTGGTAGATTGTTGAATCAACAAGATCAAGTCTCCCGATCGTGTAGGGAACTCGAAATTTCAGTTTAGGGTAATGGAATCGTAACCAGTGAACAACTAAAGAGTGACCGTCAGTGTGCGACCATTCATCCTATGAGTATGTGCATTCCTCTCTGTTCTTTCTTGTGTGTTCATTCCCTCCCCCACCTTCCTTCCGTCCCATTGCTCTTGCAGATGGTTAGTGGTGGTAAACACACACTGGATTTTGAAATCGGTAAGCGCTATCGCAACGCCATTGAGGCTCGGGATGACGTTGAGCGCCAATGCCATCCAATAAAGGTGCCATACGTCTTCGCTGTCAATGGTCCACAAAGGTTGGATGTCAAGTGCCCGTCAGCTTTTAAGCGGTCAGAAAGGGGGCGTTCAACAAATGGCATTCGCTGCCCTTTCAAGATTAACATTCGGGCCACTAGCGTGGGCGACCTGCGTGTTGCTAACACTCACTTAGAACACCATACCCGTTGTACCGCTCGCCCTCGCCCTGCACGTAGGAAAAGCCTCATCGCACTAGCAATGTCACTACCAACAGTTGGCATCACCCCAAAGGTTTTACAAAATGAAGCCTTGCATCGTCTTGGGGCAAAAACTTCGTATGCCACAGCGTGGCGTGCCTTGAACGACCTGAAGGAGAATGACCCTTTGCAAACTGAGAAATCATATCAGTTTGTCAAGAGCATCATGGAGAGACTAGTGGATAACAACCCTGGAACTTTGGTTACCCTTAGCAAGCATGCAGGTCGGTTTTTTAGTGCCTCTGTGATTCTGAGTGTTGCGAGATCCACCATGTTGAACGCCATACCTATCTTGATTGTGGATGGCTGCCACAATAAGACAGTGTGGGGAGGTCACACTATCAATATGGTAGTGCTTGACGGAGAGGGTCATTACGTGTCAGTTGGCATTGCTTTTGTCGAGTCTGAGAGTAAAGAGGGCTACTCTTTACCATTGAAGGAGCTACTTCGTGTCTTCCCAGAGCTGAACACACCGGCATGGACAGTGAAACACGACCGTGCAAAAGGATGGGATGCTGCATGTCGAGAGGTGCTCCCCAATGCACGTGTCTCTTATTGCGTGACACACCTGACACGCAATTTCAGGGCCAAGTTTGGCATGGACTTGAGCCAGCTCATCCGAGACGCCTCAGAGACATTGACGGAGCAACTGTATGAGTTTCGGATGAACAAGCTCAATGAGCAATGTCCCGGTGGCAGATTATATTTGGAAGGGGAAGACGGCCAGCTGGCCACGCGATGGGCAACTGCAAAGTTTCCTGGTGCTAGGTTTGGTTGCCTCACGTCAAATCCTGTTGAGTCGCAGCATGCCTCCATGTCACAGCTGCGAAACAAGGCAATTGGCTATGTCATTTTGAGTTGGGCGCTGAAACTTGCTCTCATACGGAGTGATCGGCTTACGTCATACTCCAACACCGTGGGGGAGTGGAGCACAACTGCCACTGAGGTTGTGCGAGGCAACTTCAATGATTCTTCTAGCTACTCTGTGCGGCAGCTTAATCAAGCGTCACACCGCTGGCTGGTCGAGCTTGAGGAGCGTAACGAAGAGCGAATTGTGGACTTGCAAGCCAAGACGTGCACGTGCAACTACAGCAGGTACGCACATTGTATTTGCACAAGTATTGCCGTTAATAATCTACTAACGTTCATCAACATAGTGCACGTTTTTTATCTGGTAATGTCAGCTGATGCATGTACACATGCATAGTGTTGATTAACAATGTATTTCACACCCTCTTCAACACAACAGGGAGTACGGGCTTCCCTGTGTCCACATCTGTGCTGCTTCCGGATCGGGTCGGCTGCCGTTTGACATGGTTCACCGCGTCTACAAGGTGGAGACGCTTAAGGCAATGTATTCGGAGGAGTTGGTTCCGGTGGATCCTTCGTCGTGCATTCCAGATAGAATTACGCTCCCTCCGAAGTACAAGAAAAGGCCAGGGCGGAGGAAAACAAAGCGCATCCGCTCAAGAGGCGAGATCAACCCTGAAAAACTGCGAAAATGTGGTAGGTGTAAGGTTAAGGGGCACAACAGTCGAACATGCGAAGAACGCGAAGAGGCCAGAGCACAGTGGGCCAATAGGTCAGTGCAAGATCATATCACGCTGCAAACAAGTGTGGTTCCACGTGTTGGAGGAAGTTATCAAGCGTGTATTGCATGTGGCCGTCGACACAGGCTGCGGGATGATTGTCAACGTGGTCAGCATCGAGGGGGAGTGGAGGGGAGAAGAGGAGAACAGCAGAGGGGAGGGGAGCAGCAGAGAGAGGGGCAGCAGCAAAGAGAAGGGGAGCAGCAGAGAAGAGGGGAGGAGCACAGAGGAGGGGAGCAGCACAGAGGAGGGGAGCAGCACAGAGGAGGGGAGCAGCACAGAGAAGGGGAGCAGCACAGAGGAGGGGAGCAGCACAGAGGAGGGGAGCAGCAGAGGGGAAGGGAGGAACAAAGGGGAGGGGAGCACCATAGGGTAAGGGGAGGGGAGGTGCGGAGTGGAGAGACACAGCAGAGGAGAGGGGAGTGGCAGAGAGTAGGGGGCCAGCAGAGGGAAGGGGATGTGCTGACAAGAGGGGGGCAGCAGATGGAAGGGGATGTGCTGACAAGAGGGGGGCAGCAAAGGGGCGGAGAGGTGCAGAGAGGGGGGGGGGAACAGAGGGAAGGAGAGTTCCATAGTGGAGGGTGGGAACAAAGGGGAGGGCGGGTGCAGAGAGGAGGGGAGCAAGAGCAGGGAAGGGAGGTGCAAACTGGAGGGGAGCAGCAGAGGGGACAGAGAAACGTTCCAGGTATTGCTAGGGAACGTGGTTCAACCCCACCTGCTGAGTGGGTGGTTGAAATCGAAGACATTGAGGAAGGTGCGAGCGTAGAAAGTGATAATTCCGAAGGGGAAAGTGAAGGAGGGGAAACGGAAGAGCAAGAGGTTCAGGTAACAGATGGGCCCGATGCAACGGTGAACGGTAGCGCACATGTGACTGCGAATCGTGCGGAGGTGGCAAACGGGGGCGGGGAAGATGTGGAGGAGGGCTCGTCGGACGATGATTGTGATTGTGATTGTGATGAACCGGAACTAGATGAAGGTGAGCAAGAGTTGGATGCTTCAGGTGGGTCGGGAGGTGTTGGGACGTATGAGATTCTAAGCATGGGAGATGCTCACCGGCAAATGGAGGGCCCATATGGTCAT